ACGCGCCACCATGCCCAGCTAATGTTTTGTATTTTTGGTAGAGACGGGGTTTCACCATGTTGACCAGGATGGTCTCGATCTCTTGACCTCATGATCCACCCGCCTCGGCCTCCCACAAGCGCTGGGATTACAGGCTTGAGCCACCGCGCCCGGCTTAATTTTTGTATTTTTAGTAGAGACAGCGTTTCACCACCTTGGCCAGGCTGGTCTCAAACTCCTGACCTCAGGTGATCCACCTGCCTTGGCCTCCAAAAGTGCTGGGATTACAGGTGTGCACTGTTGCGCCCGGCCTGTTGTTTTTTGAGACAGAGTCTTACTCTGTCACTCAGGATGGGGTGTAGTGGCGTGATCTTGGCTCACTGCAACTTCCACATCCTTAGTTCAAGTGATTCTTGTGCCCCAGCCTCCTGAGTAGCTGGGATTACAAGTGTGCATCACCATGCCGGGCCAGTTTTTGTATTTTTAGTAGAAACAGGGTTTCGCCACATTGGCCAGGCTGGTCTCAAACTCCTGACCTCACGTGATCCACCCTCCTTGGCCTCCCAAAGTGCTGGGTGTTTTATAGGCATGAGCCACTGCGCCCAGCCCTAAACCATCATGTTTATTTCTCCATTTAGCCTAGTGGCCTCAGTCATTATCATAACAGTAAATATTAGCTAGGATTTTAACATAAAATATGTAACATTTGTTCATTAAAGCAATGTGTGCTTAAAGCAAGATGATTTTTTTCCCAGACCGGTTTATTAGTGAATTAATTTCTATCAAATGTTTGACAAAACCTATATTTTTTGGGAGAAAGCATTCACTTTGGAAATACTCTAAACATTTCTTCCTTTTTGCTATTTACCGTGCAGCCCAAAGTCTCCTCAGCAACATTTCCTGTGAGACTACAGGAATGAAGGGTACCTGTGTGATCAGTCAGATCGATCAGCATTTCAAAACTGACAAAGACAGATTTAAAGTCCAAGGAGTTTTTGTTACAAGTTGTGCACATGTTAGATGCTTCATTTACAATATAACCACAGCTGGAACTGAAAAGAAACAGATGATGATAAAATGTGATGGCTCTAAGTGACAAATTTCATCTTTAGCAGAAAAAGAATTATCACTAAAAATTCTAAGTCAGTGTGTGGAAAACGTACTGAGTGTTCAGTGCTGTGTAGAGTACAACACAGTCACAAAAAACAGTAAAACACACTTTCTACACAGCGATTCTCAGGATTCATCTAAAACTTCGTACACCAGTCCTCTCTCTGCCCTCCCTTCTTCCCTCCCTCTGCCAGTTCCGCCAAGCCCTCAAGGTCCAGCCCAGCCTTATTTCCCTGCTGGAGCCCTCCCTTCCTCCATCCCAGCCGGCACTGTTCCCTCCTGGAACAGCAGCCGAGCGCACGCCTCTGGAATGACTCGTGCTGTTGCATCAGCTCATTTTCTTCTCACTGATTGGGACTTTGAGGGCAGGAACTGTGTCTTGTGCCTGGAAAGCACGAATTCAACAGGTGCTCACTGGATGGTCCTGCACAGGGTCTTCTCTACAAATACAGAAAGCCCTGCAAAGCTAACCAGGTGGCACCCAGATGCCACTAACACTGCTGGTGATACACTTGCCTCCCTTTCAGTGGTTTATGCTATTCAGTAGTTCTGGAGCAAGCCTGACTTCAGCAATTTTGAATAGGGAGCCTAATTCAAGTTTCTCAAATAGAGGAAATGAACTAAAGATAGTGGTTTCTTGTCTGGCCACAGATCACTTGGTTTAGCAAATTTTAGATGCTTTTCCTCAGATAATAAATGTACAGGGAAAATTTTTTTTAATTTTTGAAAACTATTTTCCAAAAAATGAACACAAGGCCCTATAAAGCACGTTACACATTAGTTTTTTCAACTTTAATACCACATCATAAAATGTTTTAAAAATTCAGAGGTCAGGCCGGACGTGGTGGCTCAAGCCTGTAATCCCAGCACTTTGGGAGGCCGAGGCGGGTGGATCACGAGGTCAAGAGATCGAGACCATCCTGGTCAACATGGTGAAACCCCGTCTCTACTAAAAAAAT